CTCTTTCTTCCTCTGAGTTCTTTAATTAAGTGAGAGTGAGAGTGCATATATATACAACTCAACTCTACTTCATTTCCCCGATGTGGGAGAAACTAATGACTCATTTCATTACACAAACAGGCCTCTTGAATGGGCCATTTCTTTTCACAATTTTTCAATTAGATATGAAGCCCAAATGGCTTGATTAATTGATCCAACATGAGTTCGGTCTTGGCGAAAAGCTCGACCATGGTGCTAAATTCAGGGTATTTCTCGAGTGCTCGGGTTATGTTAACAGCTGATACAAGAGAGGAAACACCGAGTAAAATGGCGAGACAGAGGAGAGAAGAGGAGGCCTTGAGACCCATCTTTGGGTGTTTTTATTTATTTTTCTGTAGTGAAAGCTAAATCTCAAATCCTGAGTTTGCAATAAAAGGATTTGGTTGGGTTTATATACAGCTAGCCTTAAGACGAGCTCCACATTAATGGCGGAGAGACAGTTTTCTAACGTGTTGGCTAAATTTGAACTTGTCTTTGTTGTTAATTCCATATTTAGCTGTATACTGTTTTATTTCTTAACTTTATCTTTATTGAGGTTTGTTGTTCTTTTGCGTAAAAAATGTGAGATGGAATATAGAGTCGTTTTAGACAAAACCATCCTTGATGTTCAAAAAAAAAAAAAAAGACAAAACCATCCTTATATTTTCTTTTACAGCAAAGACCAGGGAGCTTGAGGGTCAATGACTAGTTAAGAGGGAACCAAGAGATCGTTGTGTGCGCTAGACAAATCAACCGATAATTTAGGACAAAACAAATATTACAAAGAAACACGAAAACCGTCATTAGTCCGCTAGCGTAGAATTTGGCGGTTGGACAACATTTTTCAAATAGAACAACAAATCCTAGATACCGGGGGATTGTTGACAAAAAAGATATTGGGGGAACAAACATTCTTTAGTTACTTTTTTCCTTCAAGAGAAATTAATGGTTATTTTATTTATCTATTTGCTGCTTCAAATTTTTTAAAACTGACCTATAATTTTAGCAAATATTAATGGGACCAATACTAACTACAGTTAAAAAAAATAAATACTATTAAAATAATATCATGCCCTATTGATAAAGGTTTAGTCCATTTATTTATTTTTATATATTTCAAAAATAAAATATTAGTCTTTAATAGTAACTGCCATTATTTTCATATTTTTATAACTATTACAAAATTTAAGTACATTTTAATCTTCCCTTTTTAAAAAATACCTTTCAAACTTCCGTTTATAATCCCTATATTTTAGGGTTCCACTTCTTTCATCCACACTAATAAAACTAAACAGTTTATATTTAACCCGCGTATTGATAAAATTTAATGACAAATATATATAGCACATATGTATTTTTAACGACTAATCTCGTTCTTCATGTTTGATGAGACAAGAAACTAACATATGACATCTTTATCTAACAATAACAAATGATTAAATCAACGAAATCATAATGTAGGTCTTAATTATCTCAAATCCTTGAAAAAATAGTTCCATTTAAAATAAAAAATTTAAATCATATAAACTAAATTTAATATAATTATAGAAAAATTTTAATACACACAAAATTAGTTTTATCAATACATAGCGGGTTAAAATATAAACTATTTTATTTAAATTAAAATATTAAAAATAAAATCAGTTTGAAATAAGTTTAACAAAAATTTAGTCATATTTAAAATAATAAAATAAGTCATATAGATAATTTAAGATAAATTTCATAAAAGAATTAGAATATAAAATTTATTAAAATCATAAATGGAATATAATTATTAATCATGAATTGTTAGATTCGTCTTTAATAGTAACTGCCATTATTTTCATATTTTTATAACTATTACAAAATTTAAGTACATTTTAACCTTCCCTTTTTAAAAAATACCTTTCAAACTTCCGTTTATAATCCCTATACTAGGATAAGACCCGCGCCTTGCGCGGGATGAAGCTATTATTTTTATTATGTTTTGAAAAATGAAACAATAGTTCGGTTTCATTCGGATTAAAGGTGCTCAATCCGGATATCGGGTTTCGGTTCGGCTCAATTTTTTGTCCGATTTTTTGGTATTTCGATCATTAAAATATAACTACTATTCTAAATCTATATGTACT